TGCAGAAGGCTAAACAGGAGAGCAGCGAGGAAAGTGACGAAGGGACATTTGGAGGCCCGAGGGATATCCCCGCAGGCAGCAGGCCATCGGGCACACAGCCGATGCTAGAGGTATCCATCAGGGAAGCGGAGGCCCAGCCTTTTGAAGTCTTAATGCAGTTCCTCTACACAGACAAGATCCAGTACCCACGCAGAGGTACCTCTCTCCTCTTGGTTGCCCTGTCTGTCAGTCTTTAGATTGTAACTGCAGAAATCTCCAAGAGTGAAACTGATCATTTGTCCTTTCCTTGCTTGTCTCTATAGGTCATGTCCAGGATGTTCTTCTAATCATGGATGTATACAAACTGGCCCTTAGTTTTAAGCTTTCCCGACTGGAGCAGCTGTGTGTGCAGTACATTGAGGCATCTGTTGACCTGCAGAACGTTCTTAGTGTTTGTGAAAATGCCAACAAGCTGCAATTGGACCAGCTCAAGGTACTTCATCAAGACTAACTTAACACCGGCCAAAAATGTAGTTTTTACTGCCCTCCAGTGGTGGGTATGATACATTTTATACTTTCAACCAAATGAGGTCAGTAAAATAATGCTTTGCAACATACCACAGATGCTGAAGAAGGAGAAATAATCATTGTTCTGACATTCACGCTAACATGTGATTTTATCCTCTAGGAACATTGCCTTAATTTTGTGGTGAAGGAGTCGCACTTCAACCAGGTGATCATGACAAAAGAGTTTGAACATCTGTCCACCCCACTGATTGTGGAGATAGTGAGACGAAAGCAGCAGCCTCCTCCCAGGTTGTACTCAGACCAGCCTGTGGACATTGGGACCTCCCTGGTCCAAGACATGAAGGCTTACCTGGAGGGAGGCGGCCTGGAGTTCTGTGACATTGTCCTGCTGTTGGATGGACACCCACGACCCGCTCATAAAGCCATTCTGGCCGCCCGTTCAAGGTAACAACTTGTACGTTTTTGTGTAATGATAGTAGTCAGCTCAAATTTCAGTTTTATTTTAAAAGTCCCTACAATTAAATGTTTGTTTTAATCAGACATTAAGTAATTTTCAGAAATCTTTTGCTGTTATTTGCCTTTTGTGTTGTGACATTTTCCGTTAACTTTTTTCCTCCCCAGTTACTTTGAGGCAATGTTCCGTTCCTTCATGCCCGAGGACGGTCAGGTTAATATCTCCATCGGCGAAATGGTTCCAAGTAAGCAGGCCTTTGAGTCCATGCTGCGTTATATCTACTATGGCGACGTTAACATGCCTCCAGAGGATTCCCTGTATCCTTCTCAATTCCAGACTGCTTAATATTCATTCACCAGATTAAAAATCCTTCCCAAGCAGTATGGGAATTTTGAACAATCTATTTCAGTATAATCAATATGTCTTCCCACCTAACCAGAAATTTGGGTTTAGGCATAAGATTAAACTTATGTTTAGGTTTCAGATGGATATATTTAGGTATACATTTTGTAAATAGGTATGTTTTAGAATAAGAGGTTAAGGGTTTAACATGGTTAAGATTCTGGGGATCATTGGGATCCAGAAAAATGTTAGTCAGCATCTAGTGGCCATTATTGGAACAACATTGTAATGACCTCTTTTCAACCATTGTGGTCACTGCACGGACAAGATACTATGCCACAAAATATAACTTTTATATTATATTTATTTCATTAGCATACTAACCATCTTTTGCTGTGTTTATGTCCAGTGTTAAAGCTAGAGTAGGCAACATTGGAAAAAATGTCCAACCCCTTCTTTCTACTACTACTACTCCCCCAAAACACATTTTCATGTGCTATGAATGCGTGGGCAGAGTGTATGCAGGTAGGTAGGCCAGCCAATGATTTCATTTGGACCGAATGAATGGCCGTGCTTATCGGGATGTAAAGAGAATTTTTCAAATTCTGACCCCCAAATGCTTTTGAAATATATTCCCTACCTTCGCTTTGAAGTTGCATATGGCTTGCATGTAATGAGCAAATACTCACCTAAACATCCTGTTAAAAGTGACATGGCTGGACAAAACACATAATCTTGCTTTTCAGCAAAATTAAACTAACCCAAAACTTGTAATTTCCTTTAACTGTGACAAACAGCTATCTGTTCGCTGCACCATATTACTACGGGTTTTCCAACAACAGGCTGCAGGCTTACTGTAAGCAGAATCTGGAGATGAACGTCACTGTGGAGAATGTCTTGCAGGTATTTATGTTTTCACCCCAGGGGGAGCTGTGACCTAATTTGACAATCTTGTCCTATACTTGAAGGTTTCATTCATGCCAAGTGAATCGTTTTCTCACTCACTTCTCTCTCAATGTTTCCCCTCTTCAGATTCTGGAGGCAGCTGATAAGACCCAGGCTCTGGACATGAAGAAGCACTGCTTGCACATTATTGTCCACCAGTTCATCAAGGTGGGTGGGCTTGTATCCGGAGCCCTGGGGGTTTGCTGCCCACTCGCTGCAGCTGAGCTAACCCTGTAGGCCCGTCCTCTTTGCGGGAGACTGACACCTTTGGCCTCCTTGTGGATCACCTTCCATCTTCTGCATAGAGAGGAGACTGTTTACAGCCCAGCCGGCTGTACAAGCACCTCATCACGTAACGATGAGGGGTCATAGTGCCACTCAGATTATTGTTTGTTATTCAGAGAAACAGTGAAGCACTCAATTCTCACTCGTATTCACTGGAGTGTTCACTTGGTTGTTACCGTTTCTGTTAAGCTTCTTTGTGTTTATCTTCATTTTTCCACGCATGAGCAATTAAGTGCTGCTTATTCCTTATTTTACTCTGTTTGACTCATTGTCTTGTCTTAATTTATGGCTCATCTTTTTCATTGTTTGCTCTCCTCCCCCTCCTAAAGGTATCCAAGCTCCCCAACCTGCGGTCTCTCAGCCAGCTGCTGCTGTTGGACATCATTGAGTCTCTAGCTACACACATATCAGACAAACAGTGTGCTGAGATGGGCTCCGACATTTAGGATGACGCCAAGAGGGCGGGGCCTTTTCTCCTCTCACAGAAGCCATACATTTCTGCTCCACCAACTTTAGTCATTCCCTCCTCCCCAACACGCAGTACTTTACTTTGGACCTCGCATGTCTTGACCCCCATACAGTAGATACCTTTTTATCTGTGATTGGAGTTGTTCTTTCACTCTGCGTCTCAATGAGGAGTGAAATCAGTGAAGATACCATATTCTAGCTCAGTTAGAAATGTTAAAATGTCTAAAAAATCCCTTTTTATGTTAATTTTATTTTGACTACATGAAAGGAAGGGTTTCTGCTCAGTATTGCTGCTGCATTTTTAGATATGCAGTGGACTGTAATAATTCGTACTTGTGATACTATAGAAGTGTTGCCCTCGACTGTTAAGTTATCTGCCCAGATACTTAATCAAAATATACTATAAAATGGATTATTCATCAATAAATCTGTATTATATTATTCTCAGCTCTGACAGTTAAGATTATATGAAAATAATTAGAATGTGTGTTTGTCTTAAAGCGGTTTTGTTTACAGTTAGTCATTGGCACACATCTTTGTAATACTAATCACTTCATACCATTACTAATGAGCTGTCTTCATCCATACAGTATAACAGTGTGTATTTAGTGACATCAGTATGTTAATATTTACCCACATGGAAATCATGTATTTAAAGCCTTAATAAATCTTCTCATACAAAATGAGTCATGTTGTACTCACTTGATACTAACACAAAAGTCTAATTTTCTTTGGAGGTCCCAATGTGCCTCTAGCTGCAAGTTGAGTAAGCTACCAAATTAAAATGTTTTTGTACAGTCATCCCAGTATTTGCTAAAAGAAGTTTTGACCATTGATTAGGTCATTACAGTACTGAACCATCGGACATGTGACACCTAACTAACCCTTTCAATTCTACACTCACCCAAATAATGAGCAGATACCTCGTGTCTTGACCCGGCCTGACTTGTACATTGTATCCGTTTACGCTACAGTACTATAGGCAGTTTCATCTAAATGCCATACCTTAAACTTAGTGCCTTTCATGAAACCCAAGGACATTTTACAGAGTTGACCATTGCCATGGCCAACACATTAGTCCTGATTACCAAAACTAGAGGTCTCAAAATTCAGAACAGAGTTTCTCCCCAAAGTAATCACAGGAATATTCAGACATTATTGAATACTGGCATAAATCTGATTTTCTTGCACTGACTCTTGCAATAAACTAAAGCCAGTGTAACATACACTGTGGGGAAGAAAAAAAAAAACTAAAGGGTAATCCTTGACCTTTTATTAGAGTAGCCATGTCTTTCAGTGGTTTCAGTTTCCACAGATCTATGGATGATAAGGTCAGACATTGCCACTTGGTTGAGAGGGTGAACTACTTAAGCGTCTATGTTTTTGTACACCAAGGATTTGAATTTACACAGTGATAATTCAATGGGTTAATCTTACAACTCAATACTTGTCCTTTTACAATAGTCAGGACAGTCTGGCAAAAGCTAACCCAACACGTTAAAACTGCATTAAGTATGACTTGAATAAAATGGGACAGATTGTAAGAATTCTTTTTTAATGATTGAGGCTTTGATCATTTTATTTTGTTGTATAGTACATTTTGTTCATTGGATTAAGAGATGAGAAAAAAAAGAAAAAAAAAAAAAAAAAAGACCTAAATGTTGAGGCACCAGATTGAATTAGCTGCCAGTTGTACAGCAAGATCTGTAGAGACCCTCAGTGGAATTCACAAAGTACTAGACTCTTTGTCTCTGTTGCAGAGAGCACAAAGTGCCATTCATAGTCCAGATACAAGACACTTGGCAATTCAAATGTCCCTCCTTTAGTTTTCTGAGTGTAAATGTCTTATCTGAAATAATGCATAAGTTTAATGACATCAGTAAAACAATTCATCTTGAATCATAACTTTTTAAAGATGGACCAGTAGCTTTTAATTAGTTTTGTTTGTGCGCGCCCCCTCCCCCACTCAGCATGCTCACATTTCATTAATTTAAGTCCACTTGTGCACACAACCCAGAATCCCACTGGACATATCTGGTTTCATCTAAAAACAGAGTTCATTGTTCACTGCAGTGATATTGAACACGGCAACAAAACAGTATGTCTTGTCATGCCGCAGTCCCAGATTATCTCCCACTTATCAGGTGCATTTTATTAAGAAGGCTGAGTAAGTGGGCTGGCTGGGTTGGTCCAGCTACCTCAGCAGGTGGGACGGGCTACAGAGTCACTCTTGATCTGCCAGCCTGTTACCTAGACCTGCACAGAAATACCAGCACAGAGCACAGAGGCAGAAGATGGGTTTTCTAACAACTAAAATTATGCAGAGGACTGCAGTCTTTGTGACGTTTGGGGGTTTGGTCACTTCTCTGATTACCACTTTCCTTCCACTGTGGAAGACGATGAACTCTGACTTGAACGAGATGGAGAACTGGTTCTCTGGACTGTGGCACACCTGCCTCTACACTGAGGAGGTAGGGATTCAGTGTAAGGCCTACGAGTCCATCCTGGGACTGCCAATGGACTTGCAGATCTCCAGGGTGCTCATGTCAGTGTCTATAGGCACTGGAGGTTTAGCTCTGCTGGCTGCCTTTCCAGGACTGGAGGGGGTCGAGACGTGTTCAGGGAAGCCTGGCCTGAAGAGACGGTTCCTCATCGTCGGTGGGGTGCTGTCCTGGGTTTCAGGACTCACCACTCTGGCTCCTGTCTCCTTTGTGGCCTACACAACTGTGGTGGACTTCTGGGATGAGGGTTTTCCTGATGTGATGCCGCGCTGGGAGTATGGAGAGGCGATGTTCTCTGGATGGTTTGGAGGTTTGGCTCTGGTTGTCGGAGGGACTCTCTTCTTTATAGCTGTGTGCATGGGGGACTTTGACCAGAGGCCACCAAGTGTGCCAAACAGCCCACAGGTGACGCACAGGACAAAGCACTACATGAAGACAGAGGTGTTATAGATTTCTTATTGTCAAACTTGTCATTCACACACTAAAGACTTGTGGATTGAGTGGTGAGATCTTGACATTACTTGTGAGGGAGTGTGACAAGAACAATTCTGACTCACGTAACATGAAAGCTGTATGGCTATTTGTGTTTTGTTAAGTAAAATTGTTATTGAAAGTTTCAAACACCTTTCTGTATTCTCCATTTCTGGTTAATAAAAAGATTGCCCACATCAGATTTTTTCAAACTATTAAAAGTATAGATAATAAGCAGCTGCAGTAGTTTATTTAGTTTTACTTTAAAAAAGGTTACAGCGTCTAAATAAAAAGGGTAGGAAGCTTTATCTACAGGCAGGTACGCACCAGAGTTCACATTCAGCTTAGAATAAGAGCAGAACTACCATGACAAAATAACTTATGTCCCTGGTGTAATGCCAAATGTATTTCAGACCAGTTGAGTCTGATCAGGTCAGTGACTCCCAAAACAATTGACAGGTATTTTCATTTGACTTTTTAAAAAAAAAACCAAACACTTTTGTTCTGATGCTTTGAGAAGTCTATGGTACACCAGTACTGTTTGAAAAACAGGTTTCAGATAAGTGTTCCCCATTAAAAAAAAAAAAAACTATGACTTTCAGTTATATATGTGAAGATACTTGTGATTTAGAGCTTTAATGATTTGAGGTTAGTTAATGTAAATTTTACTCTACAAGTCGTAGTTTCTAAAATGGTGTGCTTGATGTTATCACCGTGAGCCCCAAATTTAGTTTTGAATATCAAACATAACCTAAATGGAAAACCCTCAGAACAAGAGATGTATAGCACTACTAAGTAAATAGCTACTCTGCAGCCCCATGCAGCGGTCAGTATTTTTTTTTTTTTTTTTTTTTAAAGTAATAGCACAAGCCTGCAAATGTCCAACATTAGTGCTGCACAGTCAGCCCACTGCCAGGGTAAAGTGAATACTTGCATTCCAGTGCTGCAGCTCTTCTGTGTTAAATTTCATTGGGGGGGGGCTTTGCACCACCAGCTCCTCCTCTTAGTCCTTTATTATAATTTGTACATTGTGTACAGAATTACATAGATCAGTTTGTATCATATCAGGTTGTGTCTTCGTGGTGTTTAACATGGTCATATCCTTAACACAGTTTAGATTTAACCGTCAGGTTGAATGTACCCTAATAACAGCTGATAATATTCTGGCAGGCTATGCTTTGATATTCTTAGGATTCATTCAGCTCTTTGAGAATTTGGGTGCTGCAGTGCTCTCTGGCCCCTACAGAAGAGCCCACCCCCTAGTATTTTGATTGAACAGAGTGATGCATTGGTGATGCTTGGAGAGCCTAAGCAGCAAATTGTCTTGTTGTACATGTGCAAACCACCCACCCCTGGTTTCCACTCAAACATGCTTTTACAAGTGCTGGAACGCACACAGAGTGTAACACAAACATACTGACACTGCAGCGCATGTGCACATATCAGCACTCTGGAGACAGCAGAGATTCCCCCACACCCTCCATTTGACACAGTCAGAAAAATAAGGGGTTGTGAATGCTGCATCCTGACCATCCCATGTCAATGCCATCATCATTTCTATAGAACTGAATCGGAGATCATCAAGTGACCTTGACCCAGCAGTTATTTGGGACAAGGGGCACACAGTTCCTCCCACAAGGAATGGAAATGTCTTGGGAGCCAATTTCTATAAGACTCTGTATACTTTTTCAATCCTGCTCCACCCCACCCCCTGACTGAAAGTGGGATTTACTGCACCTTCACTCATTCTCCCGCTTCTGCACACACTGAAAGAAGTGTAGCACACACCTACATCTGGTTTTGAGTTATAAGAGCTGTTTTTTTGTCACCACTGCTTTAGTTACACTGCTCGTCACAACAGAGCAAACAGGGTAGCAGGAATACAGGGGTAGGACCCAAATGCAACCATCGAGGCAGATTTGGCCCAGTTCAATGATTTAATTACACAAAATGAAGGTACAAAGGCTTACGGGAAGGTGAGGCAGGCAAGGGTCAAAAACGGAGAGCAGTCCAACACATGCAAATAAATCCAGTAGGCAGCAGGCAGGAATCCAAAGTCCAATAAACAGGCAAAGATCAAATCCAGGTAACGTAGACAGAGCCAGGGAACAGAGAGATGAGCACACAGCAACGCAACATAACCATCTGGCAAGGAACAACGGAAGTGAACTGGTATATATGGTGAGTAGCTGGTGAGGGAATGAGTTGCAAGTGAGGAGTGGGCGGAGTAGGCCAGGTAACTGCAGGGCTTATGAGAGAAGTGGGAACAGGTGTGTAGATGGGTGGAGCAGGTAGGTTATGGGGAAAGAACGGAAATTCTGAGGGCATCTGGTGGACAGCTTGAGGATGACAGGTTTGGGGAGTTGGGGCTGGAGACGGGGACAGACAGTTTTAATGTTTACAGCGTGCAGCAGTCTGCAGAGTATTTTTTTAATGAATTCAATAAAAGTTACAGGTATGTTTTAACAATAGCTCATACTCCTGCTGGAGCACAGACATGCAGCACAATGCATGCACGGTAATGAGCTAGTGTGATGAGCGGGCAGTCAGACCAGGCAGTGCACTGGTGGGGAGAGCAGTCTTTGTTCAGGCTTAACTGACAAGCCAGGTCTTTGACATCTGAAGGCGAAGCTGAAAGGATCCGGAAAAGCAAGCAGCCTCCGGGAGAGAAAGAGTGTGTGTGTTTGGGAAAGAGAGAGGAGGGGCGGGAGGACGAGAGCAGGGAACGGTGAGAATTCATGCTGTGTTAGCATCCCCTCAGCAACTCCATCAATACTGCATACAGCTGAGAAACTGGCAAAGGTCCCCCGTGCTGCATTTACAGACTCGGCCAGGGAAAGAGAGCAACTCCCACGACCGGTCTGCTTAGTCTGCTGCTGGAAGGGGGCTCTGCAAGGGGCAGAGCGCGCACACACACACACGCACACTCACGCTTACACTCATACACTCACTAGAGCCTCTGCTGCATCAAGAGGCAGAAGAGGAGAGCGGAGGAGGGTGCAGAGGGACATACAGACTGGGAATACTCCAATGGACTGAGCCAATCCCGGAGAGGGACAGGATTGTTAGGAGACTCATGTGCTAATATGTTGCCGTGCTCCGCAGGGGAAGCTGAGCACCAGGGAGTTTGACAGGATCTCAGTGCACCTGCTCCATGCACACTGGTAAGATTTGTTCCTTTTTACAGTCAGGAAATTTAGCTCTGTTTGATTATTTCCCATTATGATGTGTTTATGTGATGCTCTGTGTATAATCAGACTTATTTCTTCAAGTGGATTTCGCCTGCATTTGTGCATATGTAGGCACACAGAGTACTTGTATTGAAGTTGTTTGTTCTCTGGTCCCCGGGGGATCCATGTACTGTGGTGCAGTATCTAAATCTGAAATCACAATAGCAGAAACACATAGCTACAGTACACAGTGGATTTGAATGTATTGCTAAGTTCTGCTACGCACTCACTAAAATAAGACCAGATCACTTCTACAATCTAAAGGACAGATCAAGATTGTAGTAGTTAGTACATCAGTAACTCACACTGGACATCTCACACTCTATTTGTTTTTATTGGTTTTGATAGCAACTTGTGTGTGTGTGTGTGTGTGTGTGTGTGTGTGTGTGTGTGTGTGTGTGTGTGTGTGTGTGTGTGTGTGTGTGTATGCTTGTGTGCATGCTGCTAGACTGGTCAATAGCAGAATTGTTATATGAAAGCACAGCTCCTCTGTGTGGGTGTATACCCTTCTGCAAACCACAATTCTGGTTTTCCATGACATCATGGAGAGGTTATCGCTCAAAGCAGCAGCAAAATGACCTGATAGAAGTCGGTAGTGCCCTCGTTAACCAGCTGTAGTTTTTATGGAAGAATATAATTAACAGGATATAAAGTTTGGGTCAACTTATTAAAGAGGAAACGGAGAAAGTAATGCAAAATGTTTCCCACTTAATGAACCTCTTTTAGTGCCACAGTAAACAATGCTGAAGGATGGAATAATCTTTGTTTTCTTGAGCCACATGGCATCTATGTATTACACATAACGCTGAAGATTTGTTTTTGAATTCCTTTAATAGCTTAACTATATGACCTCAGTCACCTGCTAATGCATGGGCCAGACTTTAGACATTACAGTACATTATTTTTATACACACTAAAGATATAGTTTGAGCCCTCATGAAGCTGTTGTCAGCTCTCCTGATCTTGCCTGTAAAAATGTAACTACCATTTTATCTACAAGCAAACAATATAAACATTCATACAAACTTGGTCGTGAATGGTGTGAATGAACTTGCTCACAATGTCTTATTGTATCACGTACTACAGCTTCTTAATGGGAACTGTGTTTAACTGTAATCCACTCTTTTTTTTTCTTTTATAGTTAAGACACATAGGCAATGGAGTAAATAGAAGTCAATCAAAAGCTTCTTGGCATTTCGGGAAACATCCTGCTGACCCAACTGACGAAGGTGCATGAATCTAACTTCAAACATGACCTGAAACACTTGACTACTTCCTCCTCACTTGTGTCCATTGAGAACCATCAAAATGAGAAATGCAGAATTGCTAAAAAGATTAAATATTACATTGAATGCCTCCTTCAGCTGACCCTAAACAAAATAGATAACCACTAAGAGCCTGGCGAGTGAGCACTTTTGCTCTTGGTTTACGCAATCAAAAGATGATCCCTCAGCCTTATCTTGTATTTCACAAACCAGTAGAACATGCAAACTGTAAGTGAAAGAGGTGTGGTCAGATATTAAGAGTACAGTTGCATGAGCTCTGAGTCCTTTATCAGCTGAGGATCAGAGAGCCCTAATCGTTAACTACAGGCTAACATACCTGCCAAGCAAGCGTTTGAATAAAACAGAGACCGCCAGTTTGGATTGTTGGAGGTGAATGGACCAGTAGCTCTTCTGCAGAAAATCCAGTTTCATCTTTGTAGAGCACTAACACCACAGTTGACTCTTGTAGAATGAGTTCACTTTTGAATGATGGATGTGTCCGTCAGAGCGCAGAAACTTTGGTGCTCAACATTCCTGCTTTTTTTAGTCACAGTTTATAGATCTGCCTCCTCGCCACCAACTAGGAGCTGCATTTGGCTAATTCTCCCCTCCAACATTCCTGTCAGGTATTACATTTGTAAGCAAGCGAGTGAAACTGACAGCTTGTTTGTAGGCAGGATTATTAGCACTGCTTGGGGACAAGCCCAACACTGAGAGAGCGGGATCTGCGTCATATGTTGTGAAGACCAAATCTGCTTAACCTACTTTAGTTTTTGCACAAAATATCTTGGGCTTGCTGGAACTCCAGCGTGGCAGCTCCAATTTGTTGTTCATCCAAATTTCAGTGGTGACAAATTATTAAAGGGGCAACATGTGAGAGAGAAGTCTTCATTAGGGAGGTGATTTGATATGTTGCTCTCAGTATTAAATGAAACACACAACATCAAAAAGGCTATGCTGTGTTAGCATGACTGAATGCAGGGAAATGTAAATGCTTGGCACAGATATTTGGATGCACAGTGCAGGAATACAGACCAAAAAGAGGCTTTTCCAGTTGTGTGGGAGAGAAAATCTGACATGATGTTATAGCCAAAAATCATCATTTGCTTGAATTTAGTGTTCTACAGTATTTTTGGCTTGTGTAAGTAGCATTTTACTGCTGTAGCTGGTCGAGGTGGAACTAGTTTAACTACTTTAGATTCAGGTAGTTTAGTCCAGTGGTTCGCAACCAAGGAGCCCCTCCAAAGGGTCACAAGATAAAACTGAAGTGTCGTGAGATGATTAATGAAGTAGGAAAGAAGAACAGAAAAAATCTGCAGCACAAATCTGTATTCATTTTTGGACTGAAATATATATTAAATTAAACTATCTGAGAAGTTTAGAGGGGATATCTCCCTTTGGTGGAATTCCTAAGAAATCATAGCTGTCAAATAAATGTAGTGAAAAGTTTAGTATTTTCCAGTAGCTGAGTAAATGTACATAATTACTTTCACCCACTACTAGCAATTCCAACACAATCTTAGCTGCAGAGTTGTGGCCAGGCAGAGGAGATCTTTCCATTTCTCATTTGTTCTCAGGAACTTTTTCTAAGCAGTGCTCCATTCAACACTGCACACTTTTTTTTCGGAAGTTCAAGGACATTAAGATGTGCTCAGAATATCAAGCAGTCCTTTTGGTTGTACCTCAAAAGGATCATTTGGTGATGGATTGCACCATGTTGGGTAAGAACACGTGCTATCCCGCATCTCGTTCAGATTCATACCATATCTGTGAGTAACTAACTAACTATATGTGTTGGTTAAATACCAGATCTGGCAGAAATGTGAGTGCAATGTAGCAACAAAACAAGGGGGATTTTAAAACTCAGGGGGCCCCTGCTTCCCTTTAAAGCACAGTGTGACGAAAACGTTAATAGGTGTCAGAGTGCTGTTAATATTTAACAGTTTCCCATGCAATATGCATGAACAAAGGTGACAATGTGCATGGAAATGTACCTAATTAACACAATTGTTTCCTTTTTTCATGTTATATAGAAATGCACACAGAAAATAATTTAGATATGTTTCCTTGGCAGTCTAATACTGACACTTTTTTGTGATAAATAACAAAAACATAGCCAGTGACTGACTAATTAAAACACCCAGGACCATGAAGAAGTATGGAGACAAACAGGGGCCAAATGATTTATCAATTTGAAAGACAAAATTGTAATGGAAAAGCTCAAATTTGAAACTGAAAGCAGTAAAAAAGCAGACAGTTTCTTGAACATTTCTAAACAGCATCCATCCTGTTCTCAAACTTTACACTTATGTAAACCAGTGAGACACAGATATGTAAGGTGTGTGCGTGTGTGTGTGTCCATTCAGATTATGTGAAGGAGCTGACGTGTGCGATGGCCAGCTTGGACCTGCAGGTTGTCATTTACACAGTTGTGTGTTATCGTTACCTCCCAACAAAGCAGCCCAGCCTGAGGATCTGACCGCGCCTCCCCTCCCTCTCCCTCTCCCTTTCCCTCCCGCTCCCTGGGTGTCCCACAATCCTGGGCCCACCATGGGAGGATGCTTCTCCAAACCCAAACCAGGTAACCAACATGTTTCCCTATCTGAATCAGGTAATGGAAAAGCTGTTGAAACACCTGTATTGAAATAACTTTGTGCTGTTGTACGGTTGTACTGGACTGCATAATACTGTATGGTGTTCATGTTATTTTGACCACCCCTGTAGCTGATATCCTGCTTTTAGTATTTCCAGTAGGGCTGGGCAATGTGGTTGACATAATTCTCACAATATTAAGAAGGATATTTGCTCCTATTGATATGAAACATGGCAATAAAGTACCACAATCAAAGTGATGTTCAAAGTAATGAACTGTTGAGTTACATGAGACCCTAACATAAGAAACTTCCTTCAAACTCATGTTGTAAATCTTTCTGTTGCTAATCTTGCTCAGAATCATTCATTTAGGGCAACATACATTTGTATAACAATAACATGATAACATCATATCATCACATTCTTATTCTACTAAAAAGTCACTTGAATTACTGCCCTCATTTGCAGTGTTGTGTGCAGCTGGAAATTTAAACAATGTATAGATTAAAGTGTCAGGCTGGTGAATTTATAATGAGAATACTTGTTGTGTGGTTTCCAGCTGTTATATTTTAATAAGTATTTTAAAGAAAGGTTTCACAACATGACAGTCCATGAAGTAGGCTATAGGAATAGCCTATCATATAGGTAGGCTCTAATACACTGATATTAGAAAAATCCATTGACTTTGCTTATGATTTAAATAAGTTGTTAATACACAGAAGACACTCTGTTCTCAATCATTTTCGGTGTCAATGAATCTAACTGAAAACACATGTTGGAATGTGTTCAATATGAAACTGGTCCCACTGAGATACCAGTCAACAGCTGTTTTAAAATATATAGTCTATACAGTGTATATATATTTAAATAAGGACAGTTTGTTCTTTTTAAATCATTTTCAAATCCACCTACAGCCTCCAAATCCTGTTGTACATGTCATCTCATATCCTGCCTTCTTGCTGTATCGTGCTTTGTGTGGGAGGATTTTGATTGCTCTCGCGTCTCGTGGTGTAACATCACTCTCTGTCCACCCTGAATCCGTTAAATATGCTGTTGCGTCATGTAAACGAACTATCAGCTGTGTGCTCGTGATCAGACTGGAGACACCCAACTATAAAGATGGGTGAGTGCTTAATTTCTTCCTACGTTTGTAATTTTTAAACAGAAAACACACGTTTTATATTGTGATATTTAGGTGTTTCTTTACCTACTGGAAATGACCACAGCAACGCCAAGTCGTGTCTAGTTTTTTAACAGAAACTTATTACTTCAGTCAGCTACTACCACTACCTGGGTAACAACTAATTTCAACTTAATGAATCAATCTTGTCCATGCAGCGCTTTCAAAACGAGCAGCTAGACTAGATAGAAACAGGGCGTCCGACAGAAGTAGTCGCGCTGCGCAGCGCTGCGTCGCTCGAGGCCAGACCAACCGGATAGAAAACAATACATCGCTGCCCGTGTCGCATTCAGTATAGAGACACTTTCAAACTTCGTGTTGTGTGTGCGTGTGTATCCAGTTAAGTGTTAGCATTGCTAGGAGGTTAGCTATCACGCTTCTTCCCATTCAGTTGTATGAAGACAAAACTTCGAGATCAAATCATCTGTCAAAAGCATCTCATGGTAGTGAAGTGATTAGAGACGAGATGTCTGTAGGCTATGCAAATGATTGAACAGATGCTGTTGACTTTCAGGCCATAGTGTGACCTCCACCTTCTATCAATCAATGACAAATCAAACTTAACAGAGAGTCTTGACTGATTAGAAAATAAATCAAATAAAAGCTCATTAGTATACATCACACCTCGTTATTTATTATGCTGTGAGTAGAGAAACCTCAAAAATCAATTCTCAAAGATTACTAAACCTAGATGTCAGATCCAAACACATTTTTTGCCAGTCCTATAAAATTTATAATAAGATTGATCTGACCCCAGATCATACCAAAATAAAGCAGAGATCCAGATCACTTGTGTCTATGGGTATCTGAGGAGAGAGGTTCACTGCTCAGTACCAGCACGGAAGTTGTTCATGAAGGTTAAATCAGGAAGCAACGCTGGAGTGACTTAAGTCCCTTTCCCACCAGAAGTTACCAACTCAACTCACCTTGACTCTATTCGCCTTTTTTGATTTTCCATTGGGCAAACCTAGGGCTGGACAATAAAACAATAACAATAATTATCGCGATATAATTTTTTTCAATAACAATATAACAAATGTTCAATAAATATTCCATAAATGTTCAAAATTGTATTCACTTGATTCATACACGAATTAGGACTTAGTTTTTTTATTAAGATGTTTATTTTGTTGAGGAAAAAGGACTGAAAAAAGATTTTACTTAATTTTACTCAAACGTATTTGTTGACAAAGATTTTATCAGCAAAAATCAGCCTTTAAACTCGAAAGAAATAACGATTTGATACTTAGCGTGATAATTATCAATATCAAAAGATATGAAACTTTTTATCATGATAACATTTTTTATCGTCCAGCCCTAGGCAAACCTGGTACCCTTCTGACAGAGAGAGTAATTACACAACACTGTCAACACGTGCCTATTGACATGTAGGCTCTACCATACTGGGTTGCTGCTGTCGCTGCTTCCCCTTCAGCTCTGGCACATCAGTCATTGCTGGTTGGCATAAAACACATCACTAATGGTTTGCCAGTGCAGAAATGTCACCACAGACACCAGTATACTGTGAATACAGAGAGATTTACCTGGCGGTGATAGGCTTAATCAGCATTGTGAACTCTTTTGGCAAGGGCTTGAATGTAATGTCCCCGCACTCTAGCTTTAAAGCTGGTGTAGGCAACATTGACGAAACTAGCAAGAGACAGCCATATTTTGAAAGTATCCAACCCAAAAAATCCCACCCCCTCCCTTCAGGTCTCTCCAAAACCACTCACCCCAAACATGTGCAATGAGTGCACTGGGAGAGAGTGCAGTACAGAGGCAGGTAGGCTGGCCACAGATTTTTGTGGCAGAGCATTTGATTTATTGATTGCTGTCAGAATATAAAGAAAACAAACAAAACAAAAATGCTTCTGAAATAAATTGCCTACCGTGCCTTTAAAGCACATTAAATTGATAAATTACATTAAATATTCATATTGTTTACTTTCCATAAAATATATAAACATAACATTTTCTGAGACCTGAAATTAAAGTGTGAAGTATAAATGAATATAACTCCCACTACAGTAAATATATAGTTAAACATTTAAGTGTAAATGGGAGTAAATTGGCACCATGACAGGATCTACGAGGGAGGGAGAGGTGGTAGACACAACACATTGCCCTTCATTTGCATAAAAACTGGAAGAAATACAGAAAGGTTACAAATAATTATACATAAGGATCTAAACACCGTGTGCTCACTAACAGCGAAATAAAATGTCTGTGTTAAAGCTCTAAACAGTGTAGAAATATGGAGATATTTTTGGCTCATGTGCTAAACCATGTAACTTTTCAGTGCTGATCAAATGAAGCATCAGTGTGGTGATTTAGCAGCAGACATTATAGAGATTCTCTTCGGCTGTGGAAAGCTTTCTCTTTCTTTTCTCCTGCAAATGCACTCACTATTATGATTTTCCATTGATTTTAATTAAGACTCGCTCAGCAGGAGAAAATTCCAGCCAGATTACTGTGTAAGAACCGGATGATCAGCACATTTTTCCAGCCAACAGATAAAGCCTGCTGCAGTGCAAAAATGAGTTACACAACCATTCATAAAGTTCAGAAATATAAACCCAACAGCAGCGTCATCAAAGAAAACCGACTGTCTCCCAAAAGACAGATAAATATACTCCACTCTGCTATAGACTGTTTTCTTCACAGTCTTTTTAGGAAAGCAGCAAATCTGAACAAAAGACAAAACACAGCTGGTTTAAGCTGTACTTTAGTGTGTTTATGTCAGTGTCCTTTATGGAAATTTAATTATTTAAGGCATTGTTATCCTGTCAAAGTGATTTTTTCCAGCTTAGTAAGTGCATTTGGATATAGGCAGATTGAAAGGTATGGAGAGTAACGTGTGGGTTATTTTAAACGCACTGGCAAAATGTTGAGCTGCCCGTCTCAATTCTTGTGGATTTTCCATATATCACAGGTAAATCCGGTATGAATAGCAACAGTTTCAAAGTTTGGCACATGCTGTGCATAGGAACATTTTGATGCTTTGCATGACTTATTTCCTGCTGTGTACAAGACAAGCATGGTGTGTTTTTAATAGCATGTAGAAAATCTGGAATTATATGTGAATGATTATGCCACTCAGAAGAAGGCAGAAAGGCAAAGAAAAGAAGACATGGTTGTTCTTACACACTTCTCCCTTCACTTGCTTCCTGCTTTCATTTGTTTCAGTTGCTGAGATGCCAGACTCAATTTGTCCCAAACTTGTAGACATCTCTCCTAGGCAATGGATAAGGATGGTAATAAAAGAAGAGAGGACAGGCATACAGGAATAATAGTGCAATCCGCTGGGGAGTGGTGGCATTAATGTGCCAATATAACTTAAACAGGTTTCTCTTTGAAAGCTTTACAGCATCATTTTACTGCTCATATGTGTTTGCGCTGCACGTATTCAGTCGTGCATTTTCAGACATTTTCTAAGTGAGACGTGTCTGTGTTGTGCAGTTGAAGTTAAAGTGGAACTCTCTCTCCTGGAAAAAGAAAAAGAGGTGGATGGGCTGTCACCTAATGGCAAAGCGAGTCCCTTTGCTGACTGCAGACCTAACGGGGCACTGGGACATGGCTCTGATGACGACTCCACGCCGCTCCCCCTCTACCACAAACCACGGGACTACGTGGAGGCCTCCGTCTGTCATGTTAAAGATCTGGAAAACGGACAGTAAGACAATGAAAAACAACACTTTTTTTGATAAATACACTGTTAAAGAAATATTCTGAGGCAGGTTCAGGTGTGAAGAAGTTTTGGAGACTGATGAAGACTTAACATAACATGGTTTATTGTGCCCGGCAGAGGAGATGCAGTGCCAGCATACAACATGTGAACACATCAAATGCCAACACCAAATCTGAAGGATAACATCTTTGGTCCCTTTTATGTTTCTTTCTTCCCCCTAGTGCCTGTGGGTTTCTCTATTAGGTCATCTATCACCTAGAACAACTGATCTATCTGATGTTTAGACTCCAATGCTTCATCATATTGGAATCTATCACTATCCATGAGTTGTACTCTAATCTGTGGAGCCAGTGAGTTCTTGTAAACATTCTTGTAGGACTCAACCTTTTAAGATTCACAGAGAACACTGATATCTGCTAGCCTGACGCCTGAGCTACTGTCTCTAACTAATCAGTCTATTGTTGTCTCCCTGACAAGGACAAGTACATATGAGAAATACCTAAAGCTACAATGTCAGAAAACACTTGGGTCAGCTAAATTACTCTAAGCTAGACCTGTCTTACCTTTCCCTGTTACATCAACAAAGCCCCTTAAGAAATATTCTCAACATACACCTGCACACATGCATGAGGAGGTAAATAAGATGTTGTGAATCAAGCGTTTATTAGATTAAAGAAGAAGGATCCAAGGAGGATGTAAGTTCATGTCTTAAAGGGACAGTTCACACAAAAACACAATAAAACTAAATTTTCCTTTATTGGCCCATCAGAGATACATCAGTATCAGTGTATATATGTTGGCTAATTAGTTACAAGACATTGCAGCACAGATACACTAAGAATATGTTTGCATTAATTTAGAAACAATGGCAGGGTTACTAGTTTGACACGTTTAATTTTTAACTGTAAAATGTCCCTCACAGCACAGACCATCTTAAGGCAAGACTACTAAAGTACTGGTCATACCAGGAGCAGAACCCCTGAGTGTGTTAAATTGAGTGAGGGTGTGTTTTATTGTTAATGAATAGATGAAGATTGTGTCATTTCTTCTTCTGTCATTTAACAACCAAATGAACCGCCTTTGGCGTTTATCCAGAATACATGATTACTGTGTAAGTGTTTTAGTGTGAATTGTTCCTTTAATTTATTTGGCTCATTGTTGCTACCAGAGTGTAGCTTAGATGGATACATACACCTGCTAATTCATAGAAGGTAAAGTGTAGCTTGTTGTCCTGATGCGTCCCTACTTTGTTTTCATAGTGATATTTTTCCTCCAGGTTGTTTTTCATCTGTCAAAATCGCCTTTGTGTGTGTTTCCTCGAAGGATTTAATCATGAAACAGTTATGAATGCACACACACCTCTTTTGTTTTTGCTTGACAGGATGCGAGAGGTTGACTTGGGAAGTGGCAGAGCTTTGTTGATCAAAGAACACGGGGAGTTCTCCGCCATGGCCCACAAGTGTCCACACTACGGAGCACCCCTGGTCAAAGGTGAGTAAAAATGTTTTTAGGTATAGTATTAAAATTCTTGATCATATAATATATATAACAATATCATACACTTGACCTCCCTTCCATTTCCTGTCATTCCAGGTGTGTTGTCAAAAGGACACGTGCGCTGTCCCTGGCACGGGGCGTGTTTCAATATTGCAACGGGAGACCTGGAAGACTTCCCTGGGCTGGACAGCCTGCCTACCTTCCAGGTGACCTTCCCCGCTGGTGCTGTCTCTTAACACATTCCCTGGCTTATCATGTCTCTAAGCACAATCAAAAAGTGTACACATCGCTCATGTCTGTTTGCTCCAGGTCAGAATTGAAAAGGACAAGGTGATCATTCGTGCAAACAAGCAGGTAACAAGAAAAAGAATGCAGAGGATTTATGCGAGGAAATAAAACGGACCATCTGATCTGGAATCTTTTTTTTTTAACATTCCAGGCTCTTCAGTCACAGAAAAGGTCAAAGCCTATGGCCCGATGTTCAGCCGTCATTAACTCCAGCACAGGCTTCAGCCATGTTCTCATCATTGGCTCAGGTCAGTGTGTTTTTGTCTCTCTTTCTTTTCGTTTTTGATTTCTCAGAGATGACTCCCATTAGCAGCGTCTCCCTTCACTTTCTCTTTTATGGTGAATGTCTCTGTAGGTCCAGCAGGTCTGGTGTGTGCAGAGACACTGAGGCAAGAGGGCTTCACTGATCGCATCGTCATGTGCACCATGGACAGACATCCTCCATATGACAGGCCTAAACTGAGTAAGGTTTGTACAAAGACCATGACTACGTAAACTGAGGCAGAACTGACTTTGCAGAGAAAGTTACATAAGAGACTGCAGAGGGTGCTGCTTTGGTCAGTGGTGCTAAAACTGGAGGAGCTCTTTAGGAAACAGCGGCACTTCACAGCAACGCAGATTTGACAAAAGTGATGTGCAGAAGTAAACAGACATAACTGAATCTAAAAGGATGTGACTTTCCATTGCCATTTTTGTTTCATATTATTTGATCTTTTTATTGATGCGCTCAGCACTAATTTGCTGACCCTTAGTCCTTAGACAGCACAGCAGAGCAGCTGAGATTGCGCTCCATGGACTTTCTACAGGACCATGACATTGAACTGCTCACAGAGAAAGAGGTGAGAGGTGGTGAAGTGAAGACTGATTTAATGATGGGTAATGATAAATCAGTGAATTAATTAGGTCAATCTGTCTCCAACACATAAACCTGTATGACCCCATGATGTTTGCTTCAGGTTGTGGCAATAGATGTGAAAACACGATCTGTGACCTTTGAAGACGGCTTGAGGATGGAGTACAGGAAACTCTTTATTGCTACAGGAAGCAAGTGAGGAAAACCTTTTATTTCATGTGATAATTAAGCAGCCGAGATTATAAATGAACAAACTCACATCTGATCGCTTCTATTTTCCTGCTTAAAAGACCCAAACCAATGAACTACAAAGGCATTGATGTCAAGAACGTGTTTCACCTCCGGACGCCTGAGGACGCCAACAGCATAGCGAGGCTGGCCAACAACAAGAACGCTGTGATTGTTGGAACATCATTTGTTGGTGAGAAAAAACACATTAACAACCATATTCCTCTCATTTATAACAAATTAAGGGGAAAAAGCACAGAAAAACAAGTTATTGAAGTGCCACGAGCTGCCAGAACAGCTTCACTATGCCTTGATTCTTTAAGTTTCTTAAACTGTATTGGAGTTTCCAAAACTTAAAACAAAAGATATTCATTAGTGACATTTGTCATGATCTGGCTCTTGGACTGTAACACTTTAAGATTGTTGGAAAGCTCTGTCAAACACATTGGTCCAAAATCTTCCACAGGCCAATTTAGGAGTAATAAAGTTCTTCTCTGTGTGTGAAGAGTAAAGCACATTCATCAAGTGACTTACTCGACTTACAGTAAAGTATAGGAGTAACCCCTAAGAGGAGCTCTCAAGTGATCACATGTCATGCATTAACAGCCAGCCAGAGACAAGGATTTACCCTAAATTTTAAAAAAATCCTGACTTTTTACTGAGAGTTATTCGGCAAAAAGCATATTATGTAATTTACATTTTATATGTGTGAAATCCTTAATATACCAGGTGTCATTTAAAAGGTAAAATGAACAACAATCTAATATACAAATAATATAGAAATATGGATATAGATACATGGATTTAGATGAAATAAAAGAAAACTGACTGAAATGGAAAATAAAAGAAAACCAAACTGGAACAGGGAAGACAACTTAAGATACCTCTGGAACTCTCTTACATGTAAAGAGTTATTTTAAGTAATAAGACATTTTATTACTAAGTTTGCACAAGTTTGTACTTTTAACTTTGACTGAAGTTCAAATGTCCACTTTCAGCTGTTTGATAAAAACGAGCCCTGGTGACTGTGAAAACATATAATTCATATACCCTGTATGGAAGTATCTGCATCTGTTATGTTTCTCCACTCATTTATTCAGGTTTTTACTTTATTATATTTATTATGTTAACAAATATTAACTGCATGATGTTTATGTTGGGTTGGCAGGTATGGAGGTGGCCGCAGCTCTAACTGACAAGGCCCACTCGGTCTCTGTCATCGGGATCGAGACAGTCCCCTTTAAAAAAGCTCTCGGGGAGAAAGTAGGGAAAGCCATAATGAAGGTAGGGACACGTTCCTGGGAAATCAAGCTTTTCAGAACATGAAGCACACGTAGAATACTATCATCCTTGCTCTCTGTGGGAAGTCCTACTAGTTAAAATGCAAATCACATCTTTCTAGCCAATATCCCAGTAACCACAAGAGAGAGCGTAAACCTTCGCATTAGCAAAACAGACACATGCAAATGTTGTCACATGGTCACCGTGTCTGTGGCTTGTTTTGTCTTTGCAGCTGTTTGAGGTAAACAGGGTGAAGTTCTACATGCTGAATGAGGTGTCAGAGATGATTGGCCATCATGGACAGGTATTCAGAAAGTGAGAGAAACTGCATGACATGATGCTCAGCAGCACTATCCTCTCTTGTTTAATCCGTGATGAAGATGAGTCAGATAAGGAACATAAGTATAGTAAATGTAATCTGTGTAAAGGAGTGTGTCAACTTTAAAGCCCCTGAAATTAGTTTTTAAAGTATTTCTCTTAAAACATTCAATCACTAAATGAGCAAATAAACCTACCTTTAGAAAAGAAACTTCCCAAATGTGTTATTTATTTTATCTTATTAAGAGTTTAATAGTCTGCTTCATCAGGAGTGTGTGGGTGTGATTTTATCTGATATGATTGACAGTGCTGGCAACAGAAACAGACTCACATCTATAAAATGTGACGCATTTCATTGTGGGATTGATAGCAGAAAGTAGTTTACATGCCACAGACACTACTTTTTTGTTCCATTGTTTTAATTTTTGAGGGCATAATCAGGACACTCAAAGAAAATGGTGGAGGCTAAATGTAGTAAGCAAAATCTGGGGGACGCCACTGTTTTCCAACGTAGAAAAGCAAAGCCAAAAATGACTGAAATCTTGTATATGAATTGACTTTTGTGTGCTTAACTGTATGTATGTATGACCCCATAATTTAGAGTAAGAGGCTCAGGTGCTTTGAGTGATCTCCGTTTTGTGTGAAAGCTGTTAATGTACATGGCCTGGACATTTTGTTTTCCATGTTTCACAGCTGAAAGAGGTGGTACTGAAGAGTGGAAAGGTCCTGCGGGCAGACGTGTGTGTGATCGGAGCAGGTGATGTCAAAGACGATATAAAATGCACATTTGTTCATTATCTGCAGTGGAATCACAGCAGAAGATGCTTTTTTTGAAGACTTTTAAAATGTTTAGATCCATATTTAACCTGTGTCTCCTCTCCTGCAGGAAGTATTCCTGCAACAGGCTTCCTGAAACAGAGCGGCATCCACATGGACTCCAAGGGCTTCATCACTGTCAACAAGGTATTTTGCAAAAGCCTGAAGCCTGAGTGAAAGTGTTTTGACCCATTTCATTCATTTACTCCTCTAAACTTTCTCCCAGATGATGCAGACAAATGCTGATGGTGTCTTTGCTGGAGGAGATGTGGTTATATTTCCTTTCCCGTCACGCAACAACAAGAAGGTGAACATCCCTCATTGGCAAATGGCTCATGTACATGGTGAGTGTGTAACAGTTTTATCCTTAGATACTGCAAATTGACTAAGGCTGTGATGATAATTTACAAGCATGTTATTTTTTGACTGACAGGAAGGGTGGCAGCTCTCAGCATGATGGGCAGAGCCACTGAGATCAAAACTGTGCCTTACTTCTGGTCAGCCATGTTTGGAAAGACCATACGCTACGCAGGTAGGTACCCTTAGTGTTTAAACTGAGATTTGCTTTTATCATTTATCAGCGTTGTGAGGCAGACAGAGATCAGAGGTTGTCAAGCGAGGTTACTACACTGCCATCTAGCTGTGAAATGAAAAATTTAAAAAAAGACTTAGCATTGAGCTTGAATTTTACATTTTTTGGACAAATATACATATGTATGTAAATAATTGTCTATTTGTGAAGGTTATGGTGATGGATTTGATGATGTCATTATACAAGGAGATCTGGATGAACTGAGATTTGTGGCGTTTTACACCAGGCAAGTTTGATTTTGTGTTGATTTGTCATTCATTTTTCACAACAGTCTTAAATAAACTGGAAAATATAAAGTAGATGCATATTTGGTTTAAACTTATAGTCTCAAACTGTGCCTCCTCGTCTAGTTTAACGATAGTCTCTCAATGTTTCTTCCCTTGGTCCATCTATAGGAGCGAGGAGGTGGTTGCTGTTGCCAGCATGAACTATGATCCCATTGTGTCCCGAGTGGCAGAGGTCTTAGGATCCGGAAAGACGATTAAGAAACGAGATGTGGAGTAAGTCTGCTTCAAAGGCTTAAATCTTGGTCACGGTTACAATACTTGTTATGTTCTTTAGGTTTCTCAGGTATTACTGTAAAGAAAAACATGACAAACGGTATCACTGTGACAGAAAACACATCAAGTTATAGAGCTTGTGACTTTAATCACATGGAAAGTATTATACAAGCCAAAGTAGTTGGCTTACTGAAACTGTTACAGAAAAATACCACCAGGTGTTATTTTGGTTATTTCTGTGGATGTCCCCTGAAAAAGAACAATGTAATTTAGTACTAATTATAGGGAAAATAGTAGACAAATAGAGAAAGTTCTGATGCGGTATTTGAAGTACCCGCGTTTATTTGTCTTAAGAAAAAAACAAGATATTGCATAGAAACATAGTTCTGTAGGGTTTATATCAGTTATTAATTTCTAAAGGAATTGCTGGTAACACTTTACTTTCAGTAAGTATTTACAAGCGCATATAAACACTCAATTAATCGTTTATAACACCAATAATGCTGTCATAAGCAGATATTTAAAACAATTTTTAAAGGATCATTCTTGACTTCAGAAATAGTAATAATTATCGGGATAGTTCTTAACTGAAGGTCCACTTACTAGATTCTGTTGTACCCTCATGGAGAGGGTAGAAAAAGTATGTATACATAGATAAATACTTTATTATAGAACATAATAAATAAAAAAGATTAATAATAAATACAAGAAATGCACATTTAGACTTTCATGTCCATATAAAATATTATGTTACATTTGATGTTTTTATATTATTACAATAATTTCATATTATGTATTATTAAATATCATATTATATACATAGTATACAGTACACCAGTCACAAGTGCTGCACAGGAGTAGTTAAAGTTGTTGACCAATACATTAATAAACATCATGATAAACAAACAACACAAAATAAAAAATCCTTTTATTTGCTTACAGCTACATTATAGTATGTTTTAGTGTGTTAAAACAATATATTAATTGTTTATATACTGATGCTAATAAATGCTTAAGTGGGAGGATTAAAATAAAGTGTATGTGGAAATTAATTGCTTGCCTATAGACACATTTTACTTTTTGCATGCCCAGCTGACTCGCTGTATACTGACAAAAAGACAGACTTTTAATTTTAATTAAATTATCTCCCCTATAATAAGTATCAAATTACTTTTTAATTATTATTGTTGTTGTTGTTGTTGTTGGCAAACTATGGGAGCTATAACATAAAGTGTTTCCACACTGTCATGTTGCTGTACTTGTGTTACTTGTTGTTATTGTGTGTCTGTTTTGGTCTGATATGACTGTAGTGTTCCTCACGTCTCTCATGTCTTTCATTTCTAATAATGCAAAAGGATGTTAGCGCGGCTTGGCAAGTACGAACAAATTAGAGCTTTTTCTATTTTCTCTTATTGACCTTGTGCGTTGTCAGCAGTTGACCTGATAAACATGTATATTTGTCTTACGGCTGTTTTTTTTTTGCAGGACTGGAGACATTTCTTGGTTGATTGACAAAGGGTCTCAATGACTTCACATCTGAAGGTCACAGGGACAGACCCAAAGACCACCTCAACATGGATACTTATGGTGCTGAGACACTGAGCAGCTATCCCAGTCTGGACATACACACACACACACACACACACACACACACAGGAGGCAGGACTGTTGGAGACGCACTTCCTTGAGGAAACCTGCTTTTGTTCTGAGAGACACTTTAACGTGAAAAATGGACAGTCTGAACACACTGAATCACTGTGTCGTCAGGTCTTTCATGACAATGTTGTCATGTTTCACAATTGGATTCAGCCTCTGCAAGTCGTATCTACCTGTACACTTTGTTTATAAGAAGCCTGGGATGGGCATGGGCATATTTTTTGTACAAATAACATTGTATATAGCTATAATCCTGAATGCACTGTAACAAAATAAGAACATACAATTTGAACTGAATTTTTCTAAGTTTTAAATAACAGATTTGGTTGTATGCTCGCATACAGGCTTTAGATCTGCATGGTGTCATGAATTCAGAAAAATAACCCCCTAAACAGAGTTTTCAATGTAGACGCATCCGTAAACAGAGCTTAAATCTGCTAAAAACAAACTGCATAATCACTTGCAGCAGAACCCTGAATGCAGCTTTTAACCAACTCACTTGACACACACACATGCACGCAGCTTTAATTTGTAATAAATTACAATTTCTAGGATTACAACATACCTCTTTGTATTGGTTGCCTTGCTAGTAGATTGCACAAATTAAATTTGATTAATGTATTTCCTAATAAATATATTTCACCCCTTTTAGACAAATCCCATAGTAGCTTAAGGTTATTTTGATAGTTGTCACCTCCAATGGGATATTCTTTGTTACTAACTCAGGGAACTGAGGTTTGTGGCCTAGGATTACTGGGCTTTCTGGGGTTACAGGTACTTTTGCAAGCAGATATGAATTTGTTGCTTTAATATTTCCCTACGGTTATTGTTATTTCACCGGTTGTTTCATTTTCATTCAGAACCACTTATAATGGGTATATTACATCCCAGTGTGCTGATGATGCCAAAAATACTTTAGCCCCGAAACACAAGTCCACACAGCATTTCAAAAAGCATCGTTCTTCCTACAGAGAAGCCTGGAACAGCATTTTTATAACTAAACTTTAAAATAAAAGTCTTCCAACAATAACCCCTCACTGCTTTACCCAGTGTGTCATTTTCCATGTTACTCCACCTGTTGTTTATGTGTACATTTCTGACTTTAAGAGAAGAGTAAATAGTCAGTAGAGTGAAAGTCAATAGAAAATGTTTAATAATTTTCGAGTAAGTGACAGAGCATAGTTTGCAGCTTTATGTTTCATTCTTTGAGTCGGGATTACAAAAAAATAAACATTTCTTGACAAGTCACACACAATTTATAAATGAAATAATAAAGGTATCAAGATTTTCCCCACTGAGGAGGATACCTGGGAGGTATCGAACACACACACACACACACACAATACAAACTGACAGTGTTCACAATGATATTGCAAACAGCCCACAGAGGTTTTTCTACATTATTTGGTAAAAAGCACCTTAAAGACTAATAAATATATCTACAAAGTGAAGGCATTACATGGCGTTATAGTAGAACTAGATTCAAGTTACATGGATCTGTAGACAACAAGAGCTCATGAACAACTAGCAGGTACACATCAGTGCCGTGACAGACTTCACAGTGCACCATTTTTACTATACTGTGTTAAATCACATGTCTTCACTGTGGTTTATGTAAATACTATCACATGACAATGATTTATCAATGGACACATCTGATGGCTGAACAAATCACACAACAAAACAAATGTCTAATAGGAGGAAAGAGAGTCTTTGGAGGCAGGAGAAAGCTTGGAGCTCTTATTGCAATATGGGTAACGGTCAGATTGCAAACAAAAGTGTAGAACACTGTGGTATCTTACACAGAAATCCTGAAAGGATTCAGGATGGTGTAGAGATTAGTGGACCATGGCTAAATGACAATAATGAGAAGAGTAAAAACATCTCTGGTGGCAAAAAGGAGCTGCAAGTTACACATGAAGAATTTAAGAAATTTGCACTTCTTCCTAGCATTGACACATGTACTACAAAAATTGAAAAAAATCTATTCACATTATGAAATTTGTTTTCATCAAATGACTACAATCACAGCTTCTCCTGTATTGACCAATAATGGCACTTTTTTACATTTTTAATCTTGAGATGATAAACATTGGCAGTGATTGCTGCTGCATCAGAGGTTACACCTGTCCAGCTGAGAACAGGAAAAACCTGATTGTTTGGTGGATGATGATATGCCACCAAACGTGTGTAAACTGTCTTCAGCTGACCGCGGCTCAGAAGTCATACTCTGCTGCACACTGCTGGAGGTACCACTCGTACAATTTCCCCTGTGGCGTAAAAATGAACTGTGTGAGATTCACAATTCTGATGTTTCAAATATGACAAATGAAAATGTTAATTTAAACCTGCATTTTCTTTAGATTTTCATGAAATCAAAGCCTGGTAAAAAAAAAAAAAATCAATAGCCATTGAATGTATTTACATTATGTAATGACTTCCCTATACAGAAGTTTTAATTGCTAATGAGTCTGCCATTCCTGTGCTGAATTCAATTCGCCTTCCTATGCATGAGGGATTCACAGGAAACAGTGCAGCATGTAATCCAGCGTAACCCTATTTAAATGTTTTAAAAATTTATCTCAACTGACATATTGGCACCTTATAAAGTTGTTGTGGCAAGGTGTTAGCAGTTAGCAGTAAAGTAGTGGGTCATAAATCCAAAACAAAATGTAGCATCAGGTTTGTCACTACTAAGGACACCTTCTGCATTAGACACACTAATTACGCATAGTATTACTGCAGCTTTAACTTTAGTAGTAGACAGGGCATAATGGCAAAAAATAGAAATCTAACCTTTTTAGTTTTGACGATATCCTTGATATAATCACTGTACTCTGTCATCGCCCTCTTCTCCTTCTTCGTCAGAGTCTTATTCCCTCGGCTGAGAATGAAGAACATCATAGTCACCAAGAATTTCAATACTCACTTCCTCTGTGTGTGTCTGAGAGAGAGTGTATATGTCTGATGTAAAACACGCAACAGAAAAAGCTCTACTTCATTGAGACATTTCTCTGAGGGTTGGGGTTATTTATGTTAAGTAATTGGCATGTACTGTACATGTGTGTGTGCAATTGAAAATATTGCATATAATATTGTATAAATATGTTTTCATTATCACTTAATCTGCCAGTTGTTCTACAAAAAAATCCAAAAATAGTGAACAATGTCCATCAGAACTTACTAAATCCCCAAATTAAATATTTAAATGTTTTCTCTTGTTTTTGATTAACACGGAAAAGCTTCACTCAGTTATCAAAAGTTGGAAAATAATTCTCTTTTGATCGACTAATTGATTAAACAGTTTTTCAACTCTGTGTCTTTTTGTATATTTGTAACACTTACCCTGCAAAATACTTTGCTAGGAACAGTAGGAGGTAGCAAAAAGCTCCAAAAATGATCACAAACACAACTTGCCCATCTTCTGGTATCCACTCCCATAAATACATCACTATTCCCTGTTAGGCACACATTGTACAGACACTCAGAGAACCAAGAAAAATGAGAAAGTGCAAAATATGGAATGAAATCATATGTAACTGAAATGTTATTTGTACAAATATTCCCTGCTCGACACTCAGGACTTACTGTGAAGATGGAGACGGTCCGAGCCGGCCCTTCCCCAAACAGCTCATCCAGCTGCTCTTTGGAGAAGGTGTTCAAGATGAAACTGAAGATGAAGAGGGTAGGAAGGACAATACCCAGAGCCCCACACAAGAATGAGTGAAGACGGAGGCTTTTGTTGTGAGTCACATCAGCCCTGCGTGCACACAGAGGAAATCTGATTTTAATATCACATTTTCTGCAGCAGGTAATATCTGGTGGCTCTTATCTCCTCCATATAGACGTGATATGGTTTATTTTCTCAAAGATGCCAGTTGTCATTTTGCATTAAGGGTAGATTAGATTTAGCAATAATCTGAGCACAGTAACACATGCTCTGCATTAGGTTGAGAGGTCTAACCTGTCCTGCTCTAGTCTGCTGCTGATGGTGGAACAAATAAGGTCACAGTCTTTCTCCAGCTGATCCAAAGTCTTCTGAACGGCTTGGTTGATGGTCTTTTCGATGGTCTGGCACACCCCATCGATCTGGTTCACACACCGGCTCGGCTACACAAGACAAAGGCTCATAAGTGCATGTGTTATGGAAATACTGTACAAACAGCTGTGCATCTCAAAAGAGGGAAGGTCTGGAAACGTCCACATCAAATCCTGAGGGTGTTTTGACCGACAGCTATGCGCATTTAGCAGGAAGTGAAGCTGCACTTGCTCAGCGAAAATAAATTGGAGGTCGGGAGGGATGCACAAATCTACCATGCGGAGTGGAGCTTTGTGGTTGTAGATCAGAAGATGGTGTAGCAATAACTCAGGACTGGGGCTGCCATTGTCAAAGGTGGCTGATCAAAGGCCATGGTTTACAACCCTGCAACCCCCCCCCCCCCCCCCCCCCCCACCCCAAGAGTGGAGAACTCTCTCAGTCATCATATTGCAAAATGAATCATCCTGTTCCCGCCATCAAGAGCCTACAGCAAACCTGGAGTGGAGAATTTACATTCAAGGATAATCAATGGCTGCTCAACCCCAAGGATAGCAAAGAGCTTTAGATCCAGACTGCAGGATTTAGGGCAAGAATCAGATGGTTATTGTTGTTTTCAGTTTGTAAAATTGAAGATTAAAACCAAAAGCAAGCAGATTTTGACTAAAATATCATTTAATATGCTGTACATCACGGTTACAGCAAGCAAACAGTCTAACCTTCTGTGGGTTGGGGATGTATATTGTAGGCATCTCAAAACCACATTTGTTGAGTCCTGGACGGCGACAAAGTTCCTGGACTATCTGCATCATCACCCTCTGCAGAAATAAACAAATATAAGTCGAAATCAATCAAACTTTAAAAAAAAAAAAACCTACATATTAAATGAACTTACCTGTCTGTCCGTTTCCTTCCCGGCTTCATCTGCCTTGCTGAGGTAGAACATCAGCTTGTCTCCACATTTCTCACTGAGCTTCTCCACAATATTGAGCGTCCGTTTGCAGAGTGCCTGGCCCATCGGGTCGAAGAACACAAATATCAGATCGGCCTGTTCTCCTGCACCAAACAAACAAACAAACATCCATTTGAGAAACACAATAGCTTTAGAGTAGATAGTAAAACGTACAGCTGCAAAGACATACCCAACCAGGTGATGGCGCTGTTGACATTAAAAGGGTAGACCATGTCCCCGTCAACCAAACCTGGTGTGTCCACAAAGGTCACCAGACTGAACTTCTTTTGCTTGGAGGTGGAGATCTCAGCAGACAGATAGTCCATAACACCTGAAATATACAAACGCTGTGTGTGTACAGGTGCCTCCTTCAGGAGAAATTCACAGTAACAATCCTTCTCTATGACAGCTTATGCTTTGCAGGGCCACCTGGGGCTGAAGCCGATCCCAACTGAACGAGAGGCAGAGTACACCCTGGACAGGTTGTTAGTTCATTACATGGCTGACACATAACCATTCACGCTCACATTCACACCTATGGGAAATTTAGAGTCACCGGTTAAGCTACTAACATGTATGTCTTTGGACTGTGGGAGGAAGCCGGAACCTTCTTGCCACACTACACCACCCTGCCGTGCTTTAGTAACAAAGATGATAAATAAAAAGTTGAGTCGCAGCAGGAGGGTGTCACCTCCAATGACTGTACAATTATGTGCCACTGGAAGCCGCAGTGCGGTCAATACTTGGAAACCTGAGGGAGGTCATTGACATTAAAGACCAAGAACACTGTCAACTTCTTTTGCAATTTGCAAGAGGTGTGCTTTTGTAATGAATTGCAAAAATGCACAGAATTATCTGTATAAAAGATATGTACGTTAGCTGTATACACGCATTAACACAACACAACTCTGAGGAAAAGCATCCATAAATTCTGGTGTAACTCAAACATGCGCTAACACATGAAAACACTTGTTTGGGCCTCAGTTTTTCTCAACGTTCCCTCTGTGGAGCAGTCTGTTGTCATGGTTACACACAACAGCTCTTCAACTGGCAGCTTTAGCATGGGGCGTGGGACATAAAGCTAGCCAGTGAAGAACGACTGTGAGGCAACGCACTGTGAGGTTACGATACTCCACCACAACCACCACTCATGAGTCCTGAGTCACCCCCAGACCCCCCCCCCCCCCCCCAGACTCTGAGCACCAGAACAGAATCACTATTTAGACATACCCCCACTATTGACAAAATAAACCCCACCCACACCCACCACCCCATCCTCCCTCTACAGACATACAGGCCTGGGATGACACTGAGGCTGTTTCATAGGAAGCGGCAGGTGTGGACCGCCAGCACAAATGACATCCTTGTGCTGCAGCGAGCAGGGCCACTGCTGCTGTTGCACATTAGCATTCCTTTATGTTTCTCTTACATCAGCATGGCCACAATATCAATGCATCTGCCTCCTATCACGTGTCTTAGAAGTGTATTCCCACAGTCCTGCAATAGCATCCCTTCAATGCAAAAGGTGGCAGGATGACATGACTGTTGCTTTTACACATACACACACAGATATATATATATCTTCACATTAGATCTTTATAAGGCTGCTGGTCTATATTTTACTTAATCAGGATTGTTCAAAACATATGCATGCATGCTTTACATTTCTAAAAAGACAAAAAATAGCAGTCAAGCAAGTCCATTTTAAGATAAATCAGACAGCCTCGATACAGACATGTTCGTCCACTGTAGTTGAAGATAGTACTCTTGAGTCTCCTGAAAGGTGAAAAGCAAACGAGAGTGATACTTGTCGATGGGCGCTTAGTTCCTCGAGTGAATGTAACTGAGAAGGCTACACTGGAGATCCTGAGCACGGCGAAAAGGGCAAAGGCTGCAAAAATGCTGCATCAGCCAAGACTACAAAAGGTCAAACCAGACGCAGTGCAAATATATCTAAAGAAAACAAGTAAATAACACAGCCAAAAATCTTTGTTGCATAACACTGACCTATGACAAAAACAGTCATGTAGTCTAAACCCCTGACAACAGGTTGATAGGATAAAGACAAATAGACAGAGTTAAACATACTTTATGTAAGTCTAAAACAACATTAAGAAGTATCTCCAACAATACCCCAAAGGAGACCAAACTGTATAATCGGCTGGTACTCCCACATAAGGATATTTGACGCTTTTCTGATGAGTCATCCTCTGCTGCTGTGACAGGTAAACAAATGCCTGATAAGGTGCATTTCCAGAGGCAGCGATGAAGTTGAAATAAAAAAGCCTGCTTGTATTCCAGCAGCAGACCGTTGGTGTTGCGAGGCTCTGCGGGCCTACGGAGTGGAGCTGTTGCTGCTGGAGTCCGGGCTGTGCCGTCTCTAATGGCTGTGACATTTCTCAGCAGCTCCTCCTGACTCCACTGCACTGCTGTCGATGGGGCGTGTGACTCACACGCCGTACCGTGAGCACTCTGGTCCGCACCCAGTGAACCCTCACTCTCTACACGCTCACTGTCAACGCACACACATACATTACTCCCCACCCCCCCTCCACGCTGATGCTCCCACTCAGACAGCAGGCACACCCAGACTTTCTGCACAGCCACCTCAACATCCAGAAGCTTCAGACCACTGCCCACGCAGAGCGAGAGATAGAGAGAGACCAACTGTCTTAAAAAACAATTTGCAGCTAATTACATCTCTTTCTTCCATGAGTTAAACAAACGGCCCAAATGTGATGGGAGGGGAACAGGAGTCTGGTCTGATTTATCAAGAAGACTTGATACGTCAAAGCCTATGACTCAGTGTTGAGTCATCAATCTGAAGCACCTAAACTGGACCTCAAATCACAAAACACAAGCCTGACCTGTGATAACAGAAACGAAATAACTCCAGGTTACACATCATGACCAACACGCAGCATCAAATTGCCAGAATTTCAGTCCATGCTATGGATGAAATGATGCTTTAAATTCAATTTGCTTTATCTAAAGAAGCACAACTCTCAACTTCTGAACTTGAACTTGAGTCTGTAACGTTCACTTAGATTAACTTTACCAGTTTATTCATGTGCCACACAGCAGAGCACTATCTTAAACCTCAAAGGAGCCAAGCCAATCTCTGTGTGCAGCCCATAATTACATTCATCTCCTGTTCCTCCTAATGCTTTGTCTCCCTGTGGTTCCAGTACATTTGAACACTTTATCCTCTTAGGTTTTTCATCCTCAAATGAGAATGTTTAGGCACTACGGTCAAAGTTAATGAGCATGTGTTGTGCCCTAGGACTGCAGTGCTGATCTTATCAGTGCACAGAAGGAGGAAATATTGCTAATGTCAGAATCAAAGGCAAGGAGACACAAAGCCGCGAGATTTAAGTGACTATCCCCTCAAGGAATACATAAAACATGTACTAAACTGTTCTATTATGTGAGATATTTACAAATGTTACTGTTATGTGAAGCAGCACATTAGAAAGACTTTGAAATCTTCACATAATGATTAATTTAGGAACATAAAAATGGATTTCAATAAAGGATAAATACAGTTTAGAGGCATGCCATTTCAATCACTACATTCTCAGTACAACCATGGCAAATAATTTCACTTACTGCGCCTTTCAGTATGAGTTATTAATGTTAAAGCAAGAAGAAAGGGCTTACCTTTGAACTCAAGGAGTGGTCGAAAGTGAGGGTAGAGATGCAGCGTTGCATTCCCCTGTGAAAGAGTTAAAAAGACAATATGAGAAATAACCTGAAGAGGCAAATATTAATCTGCAGTTTGCTACAACAGAGTCCTCTCTCTTCTCTGTACTTCGCACTCGTACACCAGCTGCTGTGCTGCAGCTCAATACGCTCGCTTTAAGCTTTTCCTGTACATAGGAGATAATCCTTCCACTCTGCAGTCCTGCACTGCAAATTTATTATTCATCTTGATCACCTTTGCCATAGCCGGATATGAACAGAGAGGCAGAGGAAAAGGATGAGAGAAGACATAGAGACAGGTGTCTCCCAAGCCTGTTTGTATGCTGAAAAGATGGCTCTGTGTGTGTGTGTGTGTGTGTGTCTCTATACAACAAAGCCCCTCACTGGAGCAGCATACAGAATGAGATATCACCAGTGACTGAGGGAGTACCCTCCATACACGCTGACATTGAACCTATCGCTTCATCAACCTTTATGACTGGCTGCAGCTTCAGCTACCATAACTGTTAAAAATTCAAAAATCTGTCATCTACAAATCTGAGAAGAACCTTCTGAATATGTTAGTTAACAAGCATCTGGATATAAATTATAAAAGCAAATGAAGCACGCAACTCAGAGTTGGTTGTAACAGGTAGTTTTCGTGGTTCTCTTTTCAAGCATTTACAGGTACTTCTGTTTAAGGGCTTTTATACACACTGAATACCAAGTCCTTGTGTATCAGTGCTGGAAATGTTGATGTTCTTACCGTCAGTGATTCTCTTTTGCGACCACTTGTGACAAAAGTGAACCCCTGCGTTTCAATGGCTACGCCCGCTTTCTGTATGTGCTCTTCAACATACCTGAAATGACAGCAATGTGCATCAAATGCATCAGAAACTATTGTTATCTTTGACGCTGCATTTATAAGTGCATATATATATATAAAAAACCCAAAGTTATTTAATTTACAATCATATAAACCAGTAAAGGCCACAAATCCTCACTGGAAAAAGTGCGTTTTCCTTGAAAAATGACAACCACAATTAATCTGGTATCCAATTGTTGCTAATTAATATTCTGATATACAGAATATTAATTAGCAACAGTTGGATACCAGATTAATAATAAATTGTTGTTGTTTAATTATTTCAACTCTAATTCCAATAAACTAACCTGGTTCCTGTGTAAAAGGCCTTTTAATACATTAGAGAATTGGTTGAAGGTGGGATGTGAGCCTGTGATCACATCTAAATAAATGTTATAGGTCCCCCTTGAAAATGGGATGCTGCATGACAAGGGGCTATCCTATCCTTCAGTAAATTAAATTCGATAAGGAGTCTCGACAATAAACTACATACTGTCAAACAAAATGAAACCATATAAAACATACAGACAGATAAAACATCCTTGTATACTATCATCTTCTTGATGTTAGGAGTGTGGTTTTTGTGTTCATGTCTTTCCTGTTTAAGTCTGTTTTTGGTGTTTCTCTGTGTAGTCTTGTTCAGTTAGTTCCTAGTCCTGTACATTAGTTAATATCTTTTGTGTTTACTCCTGGTCTTGTGTTCCCTGTTTTGTCTTGTGTATTCCCTTGTTCATTTACTGGTTCTGTTTAGCTCGTACTTGTGTATTCTTGGTTATTCACCCATGTCTGCAAGTGTTCTCTCTGTTACCCCCTGTTGTCTCTGCCTGCCTGCCTCTCTGTTTTCCTGCTGTCTCTCTGCCTCCCTCGTTAGCCTCACGTCTGTCACCTGTGTTGCTCCCGCCCTGCTCGTTATCCCTGGTATATATGTGTGGTCTTTCTGTTCAGCCCTTGTCCGGTCATTGTTGGTGTTACTCCCTGTCAGTTGTGGCTCCCATCTCGTCAAATATTTTGTCTTTCTATTTTCTGCTCTTGGTGTTTTGGATTACCTGTGTTGGATTTTGGTTTAGTTTCTCAATATGGCTTTTTATGGACTCAGCCACTCAGTATGTAAGTGTGCTCCCCTTTGGTTTGTTTAATTAAGCCACTGAACTATACCTGCTCCGCTCTGTGTCCTGCGTTTGGGTCCTCCAACCTGCTCAACCCTGCCTCACCAACCCACACCCACCGTAACACTTGAATCCAACAGTTATCAGTATTAATGATAAATGTGAGAAAGGGATAATGCCAATTATTTCCCAACCAACAAAGTGCTACAATACAAAAACAAGTAAAATCAAGCAACTGATTAAATCAATTTAACAGCAGCTACGACAATGAAATGAGTCTAACTTATCTAATATTTCATTTTCTGTGTACTCTCTCCCTTACACAACAACTTGCAAAAAGCACCTACAGCCCTGGGATAGGTCCCTCCCCCCACTCAAAAACATGTGAGGTCAGTAACCGTTAGCCTGATTGACAGCTACACTCCAAATGGTTATCTTTTAAAAACATATTCCTGAAGCATCTCAGGGTAATATTTCAACTGTAAAGACTTTTTCAACCCCTCAAACACAACACTAGGGTTGTGCGATTTATAACAATTTCTTACCAAAAGTACAGCCAAAACAATGAGTCACTTAATCAATCAGATAAAAGACAGAAGATTAATGGCAACATTGTGGTAAGTAAGGTTATTAAATGTTTAAATTTGCTGCTTCAAGCCTGTCAAAGTGAACATTTGCTTCTTTCCTTTGTTATAAACGAAAACCTAATATTTATATCCTAATATTTCTTGGGTTGGTTACATTAGGCCATCGTGGGCAGTGCTGCTATTAATTAGCAATTGATGAGGCTGTTTTTCACTATTTCATCTAAAATGGGTATCTACAATCTCTAAATATATCACGATACATAATGGTTATGGAGACATCAAATTACATTCATACATCCTTTCCTCCTAACTTCTGCAAGTAAAACACTTTCATGCAAAACAAACTAGGCCTATTTGTCTTTCCCTGTCAACTGTGTAAATCCCACAAATCCACATTTCCTGTGGCAAAGCTGCAGAATGTAATTCAAACCACAAAGCGCATTTTAAAAAGTCATGTGTGAAGATAATATTTCTGTGTCAAAATCTCATTCACAAATGGGGCAGAGCATGTGACTGTCAGGCAGCCTGGCACAGCTGACTGGTACCATTAACAATAAAGGTGTTTTACCAGTTAATGAAGGAGCTCTTTCCTGCAGAGTGGTTACCCATTATCATCACAACGATCTTCTTTCTGGGAGGCAGGAGCCGGACTCCAAGGCTGCTTGCTATCTTTACCAGGCCTGATAACACAAACACACACAGTAAACATGCAGCAATTAAAGTGGCAATATCCCAATCGAATGCTTAAAATCAACTGTGAAATAAAGTCATTTTAAAATGTGAGTAAAAACAACTGAATAGTAGGCCTACCTATGTGCATCGTTAACAGATGCATGGCAAACAACCAGTAATAGGAAAATCTGAATGTTCCAACAAAGTTTACACAGTCTCAGTTGTGGTGTCCAAAATGTATACATACATATATACAGAATGTATGTATATATACACAAACACACATATATATACACAAAAACAGAACTGATTTTACACTTTAGTCTCATTTCTAAAGGTCTAATCTCCCTCATGACAATTACATTACATTTATTCATTTATCCAAAGCGACTTACAATTGCTATTTTACGTCAGAGGTCGCACGCCTCTGAAACAACTAGGAGTTAAGTGTCTTGCTCAGGGACACAGTTGAGATTGATGGGGCCACAGTGTGGGATTGAACCCAGGTCTCTCACATTAAAGGCAGGCATCTTACCCATCACCACCCCTTACCAATTGATTTAAAATAATTTTCAATGAGATTTCCTTGAGGGATGTTATTTGGTAAAATGGAGACAGTGGTCAATAGTACATTTCAAGTTTATTGATTCCACTTTATTGCTGGTGTAACCTTGAGAGTCTTCTAGTCAGGACAAAGTAAGTTAGCTGAACAATCAAAAATGTCACGTGAGCATAAAATTCAATATTTATGGGGAACAAAGTTTGAACATTTACATGAGTTTTTCTTTCAAACTAAAAATGTCTGAAACTATTAGTCAATTAATGATCAACAGATGATGACAAAAATAATGGACCAACTATTCTGATCAGCAGTCTGTCAGCAAAGATAGTGAAAATGCCAAATGTGCTCTGGTTCCAGCCTCTTCAATGAGAGAATTTGCTGTTTTTCTTTGTCATATATGATTTAAAACAGTTTTAGACTGCTGGTAAAAACAAGACATTTAAAGATGTCACTTCTCTGGGACTTTGCAATGACATTTAATAGACTAACTGATTAAACAAAAGAATTATCAGCAGATGAATCCATACTGAAAATAATCATTAGCTGCAGCTTTAAAACAAAATCCTATTTATCCTTTAAGTGGTACCAAGTTACTTATAGGGAAATTGTCAGGAAATGATGAACCAGTAAAATCAGACTTGTTCTGTCAGTTTAACATTGATGCAATCTCTCTCTATTCACTGAATAGAAGTGAAGTAGATACAGGCCTGTTTCTGTCTCTTCTGTTACACCAGACTTAATTATCCTGTAGTAACCAAGTAAGGGCACGTAGTAAGGCTCCTTCTTTAAGTGCTGTAAGTGTAAAGTCTGCACACACAAGTGTAGACATTTCTATCAGCACTATCCCTCGTAAACCTGCTGTGCAGAACAGTTTATTATAGAGAATATAGTTTACAGTCAGATATAGGCGCTGCCCTGCGGTGCTGCAGAGGAGCCACCCCAGTGTTCAATGTCATGTGTTTGACACCGACAGACAGCTGCTGCAGAACACCACCTGCTTTACATATCAAACCAGCAGCGTTTAAGTTTTACATTCACTACAAACTTCAGGCTTAGTGCTACTAAACAACTAAGTTGCGTAACAGCTCAACTATGCCTGTTTCAGTTTGACGGTCCGGACACAGCTTGCTTGTCTCTTTATCCACGTTATTGATTATTTACCGTTCTCGCTGTCGACATACAGACTGTGGCATTCTTTCAGTATCTTCTCACTCGGTGAAGTGATCGCAGACTCCAGGGGGTTTGCAACAGACCGGGGCTTTCTGCCCGACATTACGACCACCAGCCACCAGCCGCCTCTCTGCTGTTTCCTAAAACCACCTGGGGAAGACTTTCAATGTTGCACCAACGCTCGCCTGTGCGGATGAAGCGCCACCCTGCGGTCAAACTCCAACATGACACCAACCGGCAGCCCTTCAAGCCCGAGCCTGCTGGGTTTTAATCTTCTTCAGGCTTGACCCTTGGACCTGCCTCTAAAATTGCTGGCTGGATCACCAAATCAGGCAAATGCCCAGGAGTCCCACACTCTCAAGGGCCCCACAGGCCCCTGTAATATGTTCAGCAACTACTAATACCATTATTTAAAAATATTACAAGTAAACGTCCCACCTTCAAAATGAAAAAGTATATTATTATCCCAATCTATGTTATACTAATTATATATTATAGTTTTGGATTATTATTACATTCAGCTGTTAAACTACACTGAACAAAATATAAACGCAACACTTTTGTTTTTGCCCCCATTCATCATGAGCTGAACTCAAAGATCTAAGACTTTCTCTATGTGAACAAAAGGCATATTTCTCTCAAATATTGTTGACAAATCTGTCAAAATCTATATTAGTGAGCACTTCTCCTTTGCCGAGATAATCCATCCACCTCACAGGTGTGGCATATCAAGATGCTGATCAGACAGCATGGGTATTGCACAGGTGTGCCTTTGGCTGGCCACAATAAAAGGCCACTCGAAAATGTGCAGTTCCATCACACAGCACAACGCCACAGATGTCGCAAGTTTTGAGGGAGCGTGCAATTGGCATGTTGACTGCAGGAATGTCCACCAGAGCTGTTGCCTGTGAATTGAATGTTCATTTCTCTACCATAAACTGTCTCTAAAGGCATTTCAGAGAATCAGAATCAGAAGGAGCTTTATTGCCAAGTAGTGTTTTACACATACGAGGAATTTGCTGTGCCGATAAGGTGATACACGTAGACAATCATACAGTCAACATAAATAAATGTAGAAATATAATAAATATGGAATGAAGTCAGCTGCAATCTTTCCTGCTCGCTCGTCGTCCTCATCGGGGTCTCGACCTGACTGCAGCTTCACACAGCCATTGAAGAGGAGTGGACCAACATTTCACAGGCCACAATCAACAACCTGATCAACTCTATGCGAAGGAGATGTGTTGCACTGCGTGAGGCAAATGACCTGTTTGGATCTGTGCCTGCCTAAATTCTTGTCATTTCTGTTATCTGATGTTTGTTTCATGCTTAGTTTCTGTCTGCCTGTCAAGTGTTTATGGTAATCCTCGAGTTATCCCTCTGCCTACCTGTCTCTGTTTTCTCCTGCTTTCTCTCTGCCTGCCTGTCTTGTTAGTCCTGATTCCTCTCTCCTTTGTTTCTCCCGCCTGTTCGTTAGTCCCTGGTGTTAAATGTTTGCTGTTTTATGTTCAGTCTCTGTCCAGTCATTGCAGTGTTTTGTGGTATGAAGCCTGTAGTTCTGAGTCTCGTGTTGTGTTATAGCCTCTGTCTGAATTTTCCTTATTTTCTGTGTGATTACTCTGTTCCTTTTGGATTATTTTGTTATGCTGGATTCATTGGACTCAGCCGCCAGTAAGTGTGCTCGCTTTGTGTTAAATAAACCTTTCTGAACTGAACCTGCTTTGTGTCCTGCGTTTGGGTCCTCCAACCTGCTCAACCCTACAAATCTGTGACAACAGAGGTTGTAGAGGTTATTTCCCTCTACAATGTAGAATGTTAGAAGTATAAAGTAGCAGAAAATGGAAATGCCTCAAATGTGTACATTAGTCATTTACTTTAGTAAATGTACGTACTTTCCACCAGAAAACCTGGATTCTTAACTTGCTTATTAATACTGTGTCCATATTTATTTTCTCCAAAGCTTAAAACATGTGATTTTTGGACAGGAACAAATGAGAGATTAACTCTGATTAATAGATTAAAGAGAAAATCCAACCAGAATTTAAGATGACATTGTTCTTCTTAAACGATTTTAGAAAGTTGTGGTATATTCATGACACAAATAAACAAGTGCCTAGCCCACATGAAGTTAGGCATGTAAAATACACCAAATAATAACGTTGCAGTGGTAAAAAAAAATCTGTTCTTACACATTGTCATGGAAATTATATACTTCCCAGTGGAGAATTGAACAACCAACTGTTGTCTTTGGTTAATTTTATTAAAATGAGAAAATAACAGTACTTCAAACCAGAAACAGCTGGGTCAGAGGTATACCGGTGTAGGCAGTTTCGAGCATCAGAGGAAAGAAGCGCAAAAACATTTTGAGGCACATATATTTTGTCTATAGGAGCCTTTCTTTGCCTTGAAACTCGGATTCACAGGGGAATAGAACAGAGACAGAAGAAAACAATCAGCTCTTCACCCTAACATAAACATTGGTGTGGCATAATGGACAGTATAACTATGGAGGTGAGTTTAATGTATATATTATTCAGCATGCATGTAAAATCAACATCCTGCCATCACACACATAATATTGCAAACTTCACAAACACAACTCATCTGCTCCCTTTATAAAACTGAACTCAGCTTTTTATAAACAATAACACATAAAACAAAATGTCCTGTCTTACATCAAATAAAAAATAAACCCATCCTCTTCAGGGGAGACCATTAAAACTACATGTTGCTATGGTCAATCGAAGTGTACCTGAATGTAACTATGTCTGACTTTGAGGCTCTGCACTGCCAATGTTTCGAGACAATGTGTGTTATCTCTTCAGGTGACTCATTTTGTAGAGGTGGTCAATACATCTATAATTGAGTCTGACAGTTCAAACATTTTTAGTTTCATGTTACATCTGGATGGGTTTTATTTGGATGAGAGGGCTTCTAGCTGTGAACCACATGGTGCTCCCTGAGCTGTTAATATCTGTCACATGAGAGCTTCTTTTATCTGCTGTCTGTGGAGCAGCTCCAGGATCTGTTTGAGGATGACCTCATCATTACACACTGTCTGCTGCTGGCAAAACTAAAACTGTACATTAGTAATAATAGCATGTCTTGATTCTATTTTAAGGTGAATTTTTTTACTTTAAGGCTCAAGTGGCCAAATGGCCTGCGATTAAATTCTCAAAGGCTCTTGCAGGATTAAACCTTTCTGGCTGGTAGAGTGATCGACTCTTTGGGTCATGTGTGCAGAACAGCATGCCCTTAAAAAGCCTCATAGTAGCCTACTTATGAAAGGATGCTGACCGAAATCCAAAGCATCTGATGTTGTTAAAATTCACTTGTGTTTTTATGTATGTTTTTGTGTTTAAAATGTAGTTGTTCTATCAGAGATCTAAAGTTATAGACCTAAAGGCCTTGGTAAAAATAAAATACATTCATATTTTATAGAGTTACACCTCTATTTTGAGTTCTTCTTACATTTTCTACCAACTTGACAAATTTGGGTAATTTTGTTTCGTTTGTTTTGGTAAATTTGGTAATAAATTTGAGTTGAAAGCACTTAACAGGCAACTGAATACGTTGTTGTATACAGAATATGTTATTGTACACAGAGCGTTCTTTTATGCTTCTGCAAATACTGTTTCTAAGTGGCTGTATAAATCAGTGTTACGCTAAGGTGCTCTGCTGATAACAATCTTTTCTGGCACATGAAGAACCTCAGGATCATGTCTGTGTGTGGAGCTGGATTATAAGTAGGTGAAAAAATTTTAATAAGTTCATGAAAGGCTTTAAGCACAAAACTCAAATGTCCAAGTGCGCATCATTTTCATTTAGACAAGAAAGGGTATTATTCCTCTATTTGGGTCAGCAATCCCTGTCTTACCAATGTGTTGGCAAACCACAGCACCGTGCAGGCATGCGCTTTAAGGAGTTAATAAGTTTCCCTCCTGGAGCTGAGATCATATGCTGCACCTTCCAGTAGGCTGCCATTATGTAAAAGCTTCGACTGAAGTGGAATATCTATTATTTTAACACTTTTTTTTCATTTTATGGCAGCTTCCACGATGAACTTCAGTGAGGGATCTGTGCAATCAAAGAAGGACGTAAGTTACCTCCGTGCTTATTTTACAATTTTATTATTATTTTTTTTAATCATGATTTATTTTATCATTTAATACCTGAGGAGGCTGTGTCCTTCCACGTTATGCTGTTCTGAATTTTTCAGCCAGTTTACTGTGAATATGTTCATCCACGCATCCAGAGTCATCATGTTACTACTGGGACAGACGGCAATAAGATCATGTCCTATGTTGTGCGGTGTGAGGGCTTGCCTGGAAAGCACGAGTTTTACCCGATAGGTGTTAAGTTTTTTATTTATTAGCCTATTGTTATATTTATTGGACGATGGTTCCTTTGCTCAGTTAGTGCAAAATGGAGATGTATCGGATAAAATGTGTCACCTCTTAATGAGGCACTATTTTAGTTAATTAATGGTTAAAAAATTATTTTGGATATCAAATGATAAATAAATCATTTCCAGGCTATATAGATAAATTCAAAATACAATAGGAACCCAAAACAGAGCGCTTTTTTGAGCGCTTATTTGTTAATTGAGCTATTGATTGTCCAGATGTTTTTCGTTTCCAGCAGGTCCATTGGAGCACTCAGGATGTTAGAGAAAAAATAAAAAAGCGCACTATGTGCGGTGCAGTATATGGCACTGTATTGTGTTTTTTCCAGTGGAAGGGCACCAGAGGGCACTTTATTACGTTTTAACTACCATAAGGGAATCCCAGAGCTGTGCTTTGTCAAACATTGGTGCACTAGGGGGTCCAAAACCTGTTCTTAATAATATCTTAACCTGAAACGGAGTTATTAACCGTTATTAAACGAATAAATATTAAAGCAATTAAATACAACATGCACTTCATAATGAAGCCTTAAAGCAGTGCCATTTTATAGACCATGCAGAATTAAAGGATTGCAGACATGCAGTGCCTTTGCATGACCTTTGACCATTCCCCATCGTTAAATTGACATTTTTTAGAAAGCAGATGCTGCAGATGTTCACATCAGTTCACTGACTGCTCTTCTAAATTTTGGAACATA